TGGGCGATGAACCCAGCGATAAACATGTGTGTAGTTGGGGAGAACTGACTCGGAATCACACCGTAGTAATTCATGACGCTTAAATGGGCGTTATGCAGCGGAAAACGGAGCCCCAATTGCAAACTGGCTAAGTGCACCCCGAAGTGAAGGGGAGAGGGGGATCTACGATGTTCTGTCCAGGAGAAGGGCGAGAACAAATGATACTGGGGCCTGCAAGGGCCACCGCCTCACCGAATTCAGCGTCAGAAAGGGCGACAGCCAGGAGTTTTCGAACATGTTCGCAGGAGAGGAAGAAATGTGTTTCCCTACCCTCCCAATCCACCGGTATTTGGGGCCGATTCGAGGTGGCCCTTTCGTCAGGAAACACATGGTGAATTGAAACTGAACTAGAAGAAGACATTGGGAGAACTAACCTGGTGAAAAGTGAAGATGAAAGGGAGAAGTTTCGCGGCTTAAGATTCCCAACCAAGAAGATAAAGGCTCAAGCAAGGATGAAAATTGCAGAAGAGTTTTATGAAGGATGATAAGCGCCGCAATCGTGGCACTCGAGTGCTGAAGATGGTAAGATGGATTGGAAGTTGTGCCGGGTTGCAGGCTTGAATCAAGTTGGGCGCATTTAATGCGGAGCGGCGCTACAGTCCACCAAAAAGATTCTAAATTTGAAATTGGTTAACCGCTCGATTTACTCTCCTAAAATCCAGCCCTGCTGATTTTAGAGAGTAGGGGGCTCGTGATGGTACCATGGACTCTGACAATGGCCCAATTACGAAAATACGGATTAGCTCATAACGGGATCAAGCCTTCAATAGGATTAGCCCATAACGGGATCAAGCCCTTAACGGGATTAGCCCTTAAATGAGATCAGCCCATAAACGGGATTAGCATAATGAGCCGCTGGGCCTAACTAGGAATCAGACCCACGACAGGAACCCACAGCCGGGTCAGGCTAGACAGCAGACCTCGAGCCTGGGCGGAGTTCTAGTGAGGCCGAGATATTCCTAGGACCTACATGGCAGGCTATCATTCGTGCATAACTATTTGACAGCAGGCAGGAATAACGGAAGGAACGTGGACTTAAAGGAAAAGTAATTGTACAACGGTCAGAACGTTACAAGAGTCCTATTAGAACTAATATGCAATTAATGACATTTATTGTATCAGTTTCCTCCTAGAATAATATTTCCAATAGTCTATAAATACTTCATGTAATCTTCCTATGAAGGGACCGAACTCCTGAGAATAGAATGCTGCCTTACGCTGCCATATTTTCATCTGCTCTCGTAGATATAGCTCTCGTAGTTGGATTAAACTCCATCACCTAGAAAATAAATGGGAAGAGGGGCCTAAAAGTTGAAAATAATCTTCAAATAATCTAGCTTTAGAATTTGATACCAGATTTTTTTATCAAATAATCTCTTCAAATAATCTTAGCATCTCATTCATAATCTCAAAAATTATCATCCACATCATCAAAATAATCTCTAAATAATCCCATGGATGGGGATGCCCTTAGGATGTTTTCTTTTGAAATTTGATGATCTAGTCTGGTCTGCTCTGAATTGGTCTGATCTGTACTGGTCTCTGTGTATTTTATAACTACGGAAGTTTGGTCTTATCTTGTTTGATCTGATCTTGTCTGACGTAGTCTGATCTGGTCTAGGACTGAAAATAGTTCAAAAGAAAACATCCTTATTAAGAGCAGTTAGGTTAACAGATACAAACGTTACTCGCTCATGCAAAAGTTACTCGCTCATGCAAAAGTTACTCGCCTCATGCCAAAAGATTATAAATCGGATGAATTTTAAATCTTAAAAGTGTGAAGTATAATAAATAAAATAAAATGAAATATTTTCCAAAAAACTAAATATATGAAATTAATAAAAACTTTTTAAAAGAGTCGAAAAGTCTAAAAACCAAATTCTAGAATATTCTAAAAAAGAAAGTAAATAAATAAAAAATGTAAAGTTAAGAAAAGCATCAAATAAAGAAAGAAATAAAATATGAATTATCGGAAAACCTCAAAAAAACTAAAGCAAGTGTAAACTGATTATTTTTACAAACCTCTCAGAAATACACATCACAAAAGTTTAAGATAAAAATTGCATAAAATTCGTATAAACTAAATATAATTGTAACAAAAATTAAAGAATAAGAATTCTGAAATTTGAAAACATGAAAAAAAAATCAAAGTAATATATAAAGTTTAAAAGCATTCAGGTAATTCAAAATAATTAAAAAATAAAATCAAAATAGAAAACAATATTCTTTGGATTCTTAAAAATCAGAAAACTAAAGTAAATTAAAAGGCATGTAAATTATAAGAACTCCAAACACATAAAATATTGTTTTATATTATTATCATTTAATTTAACTGATACTTTTGTTGCATATTGTTTCTTTGTGTTCCTTGTGTTCCTCTTTGTTGATAACTTTAATTTTTTTATTTTTTATTTTTCTTCGACCCAATCCCACGGGTTTTTACAAGAATATTACTAAAATAAAACATATTTACATAAATATGACTATTCATTACTACAATGTGGTGTTGTGGTAACTTAGGTTCAAAACTTGAACATGAATTACTATGATTTCATTACTACTCTAGTCATTAGTCATATTTTTGTAAATCATCTTTATTTTGGTCATATTTATGTAATTATTTCTAATCCCTCCCAAAGGCCAAAGGTTTGGCTATCGTATAAACCTGGCTTACACAAACACAAAGGAGAAAATTTGTGACCAAAATAAAGATGATTTACAAAAATAATTTAGTACAAAAATAAAGATAATTATTTCTAATCCCTCCCAAAGGCCAAAGGTTTGGCCAAAGGTACGGCAAAATAAAGACTACACAAATTTATTTTCATCACATTTTCTAAATTTTCAATTAGATTATATACTAAAAGTCATTGTTTGTCAAATAAATTATTGCATCTGTCCCGCTAAATTGGGACATTAGGATGTGATGCAGTTATTAAGAAAAGTGAGTTTATGATAAATTAGGACATTAGGATGTGGTGCGGTTATTAAGAAAAGTGAGTTTATGCGACAGATGTTTAATTGATAAAATAAGAATAAAGTAAGAATTATTTAGAACAACACAAACTTTACCAAATTTGGAGTAGGACAATCTCAGTGAAACATACCAAAAAGAAAAAATGAGATAATCTTAACAGGGCGGAGAAAGGAGTACATTTTAAGGGAATTTTGTTGTGCAACGCACGGGGTGATTGATCGAAAATTATGGCACGAGATGAAGGAATCGAGTATAGGAAAAAAATTGTTTTCCAACTCACAAAAATAGGATCTAATTTTGTTTCAAATATTTTTTTTTTATCCTTAATAGGACTACAGGAGTAAAAACGTTTGTGAATTCTAAAATAAGTCCAACATGTTTTCACATTCCCTAAACGAGAGTAAATATTGTCAAAATTTGTCAATATTAGACTTTGAATATGGTTATATTTTCCAAATTTAACAATAAGTGGTTTTATTTAGGAAATTAAAACATGGCAATTTTATTTTCGAATTTCAAACCGTTAGTCATATTTGGAAAATTTCCTTTACAAAATTAGTGAATGAAACAAAACACTACATAAACAGATAAATATAGGATGTTTTTACTTGGACTATTTTCAGTCCTAGACCAGATCAGACTTAAACAGATCAGACTAAATCAGACCAAACTTTCATTATAGTCCAAGACCAACAAATTATAGTCCAAGTAAAAACATTCTTAATCCTGAGTCAACATTCTTCTCCCTCTTCACGGTGCATCCTCTCATCCACACTCCTCGCTCATCTTCTCCATTGTCCTAACCCATCCAACGTTACAACTAGACTTGGACTCGGGCCAGGTGGCCCGACCCAGAACCGGCCCAGGACCGATACTGTTCCGGCCCGGCCCGAACCAGTGGCCTGACCGACCGGTCCGGGTAGGCCCGACCCGATGGCTTTCCGATCCGGACTCGAGTCACCCAAAACTAGGAGTGGATTCGGGCCGGTTCGGGCCCGGCCGGGCCTCGGTTCAAGAAGGGGAGGCCCGGAACCGGCCCGGGTAACCCCCAGGTCCGGGCCGGGCCGGGCCTCGGGTATTTTTTTTTTTTTGGGCTTTTCCTAGTTAACCCCCACCCCTCCCCCTCACCCCCAAACCAACCCTAACCACCTCAAATGGCCCAAAATAACCAGCCCAACCCAAAAAATCAAAAAAAAATCAAAAAAAAAAAATAAAATTGGCCTGGCCCGAGCCCGAACCGGCCGGGCCGGTTCACCTTTTGAAGGGCCCGAGCCCGAACCGAGAATCCACCGGGCCGGGTGGCCCGAACCCAACCCAAAACAAGGCCCGACCATTCACCAAATTGATTTTTTTGTTTTTTTCATTTGTTTGGGCTTCAACCGGGTTGGGCTTGATGTTTAGGAGGGGTTTGGAGGGTGGGGGTGAGGGGGGTCAAGGATTGGTAGGTAAGCAAAAAAAAAATTAACCAAACCCGAGGCCCGGCCCGGCCGGGACCCAGACCGGGCCCGGTGGCTACCCGGGCCAATCCCGGGTCCAGCTATTCAGAACCGCCGACCCGGGCCCGGGCCAGGTCCGACCCGGCCCGAGTCCAAGTCTAGTTATAGCCACCTCACCTTCTCATCACAAAGTAAACCAATCCTTCAAGCTTCGCTGAATCCACCACTGGAGGGCCAGTCTAAACCAGAACCGGTCAATTCTTGGGATCAAATGAAACCGAGATTTCTGGTTCCTGGGACTGGAACTGAGATTCCCGAGTGGCACCGGCGCCAGAAAGGCTGTTTACCCAGTTCTGGGTCCCCGTAGTCTACACTTCAACCATTTTTTCCACTCCTTCCAAATTCATCCACCTGTTCCTTTCTGTCTTTTCAGTGTCAGTGAATCCCCGCCTCAATGGTGTAAAGTTGAGAGAAATTGGAATTGTTAGTTAATGACTTCACTTTTAGAATAAAGCGAAAGATCATAGTGTTGCAAAATGCAAAGCACAAGTCCATAAACACTCTTACTTTTAAGTTTTGATGTAAAAAAAGGTATCACCTTGCACAGTTGCACTTGCTATAAAACACCTATCATCGCCTCAGCAGTCAGCCCCATTAATATTCTGACGTTAATCCATCTCACAGCTCTATGTTTACATGGAAGAACTATTATTGATTGACACAGTTTAAAAAACTCGTTACACACACTGTAAAGCAACTGTAAAGGTGAGGAGCCACCAATTCAATACAGATCAAAATTCTCTAAACTGAAAAGCAACAATATCAACTAGGGATAAAACAAGGACCACCACATTTTCTCAGGTGGCTGGATTTCTAAAGAATGGGTGCTTAAGTGCCTCTTTGGCCGTGAGACGTTCGGATGGATCAAACTTCAACAAGCCCTGTAACAAGTCAATCAGGGACGATGAAGATGATGATCTCGAGGATTGCACCTGCCTCAATACAAGATCCTGCAATAACATACCAACAAAGATGACTTTTACTGGTGTGTGGTCAAAATGGAGACCAAAAGGCTCAAGAGAATGGGAGCTAAAATGGACAGACCTGAAGCCGGTCCAACTTTTTAACTGATCTGATGCTCTCCCTTGACACTGCCCCTTGGGGCCAATTCAATCTTGATCTTTTAAAATACTTCTGCGCACCTCGACTGCAAAATGGCAAAACAGAATGTGAGACCTACTGCTCATTATTGCCGGAGAGTTTGCTGCACATAATCAACAGGATTGCTGGCCAAAAGGGAATGTATGATTACGAAGATGTAAAATTTCCCAAAGCTCTTTGAGTAGCAGAATGTGATAGTATTACTTATGCTGTCTAAATATTCAAGAATGGAAACATTGAGCCTGAGGGGTGGTAACATTACAAAAGGGAAATTTCCATAAAGAGTATGGTTTATAGAATTGATAAAGTAAGAATAAAGTATGAATGATTTAGAACCACACAAACTTTACCATATTTTGTATGGACGATCTTAGTGGGACAAACCAAAAAAGAAAGATGGGACAATCTTAGCAAGACAGAGGGATGCAAAGAAAAGAACACATGATGGACTTAACGGCAAAAAAATGAAGTCTGGCTTCTTGAGAGTAGATAATGGCGGGGCAAGGACCTGCGCCGGAGACCGGTTGGGCAACCTGAGTTGGAGACCAGTGAGGCAACCTGTGTCGGAGATCAGGGGTGACCTGACGGCTTAACGGACTAAAAATCGCATATTTCCTGCTTGGGTCAGCAAAATAAACTAAATTTGGCGTCGTCATAGCAACTGACGATGCCTAGGCATCACCGCAGAACGCCTAGAAGGCTTCAGGAGAGTCAGTTGAGCATGGAAATTCTCCTCCATTGCCAAGATACCTAGGCGACGCCGTGATAACACCGGTGCTATTACTTGTCAATGACAACTTGTTATGGTCTTAAATATTGCCTAAGACAATCGTACAATGGGCAGACCTGTGCACAAAAAGCATCCCTACATAGGAGAGGGTCAGGGGTCCCACCACAAGGGTGTATAAGGGGCAAGCCTTCCAATGTCAAACTTTGACAAGAGGCTGCTCCCAAGACTTTAACATGTGACCTCTCGGTCACATAACAACACCTTAACCGGTGCGCCAAGGTACCCCTTCCCAAGACAATCATACAATACCTAACAAAATGGAGGAAACTTATCACATTACAGAGTAATCAGGATTTGTCCAAACCAACAAGGTTAAGTTACATTACCCAGGTAATGTTGTTCAAACCAACAAGGTTAGTGTACAAGTGAGGGTTTTGGGCCTTGCTTGGGCCAGCACGTTAGGATAGGAATATCATAAAAGGGGGAAGGAGGATAGTCGTAGAATAAAGGAGGCTGGAAACGAAGCAACTAGCTTAGTTGGTTGTGGAGTCACCCGGTTATCCTGGAGGTCAGAAGTTCAATTCCCGCCGGAAGCCGTTTGAGCTCTTGTATTCCCTCCCCCCGGGACCCCCAACCCCCGACACCCCAGGGGCGGCGCCCCCGCCTCCCAAAAAAAAAGAATAAAGGAGGCTGGAATTATCATTTGGGCTTGGGACATGGAGAGTTGGCACTCTTTAACTGCCTTGTATTCTCTCTTTTCTGTTATACAAACCACCTCCATTGTTACATATCTTGATTTCTTCCATAGTTAGCTCTCTGAAATTAATGTAAACTGGTACGTAACCTATCATTGGTATCAGAGCATAGTTTCTGTCGCCTGTCAATGATCACTACTCGAGGAACGAAGGAAAGTAAGCGACAGAGTTTGCAGCGCGAATGAGAACATAACCGCGAGGAGATGCAGAACTTTCATAATGTAGTGCGGAATGGCATCACAGAGTTGCACGAATTGATATTGCAGTAGTACGCTCGACATCAGCGAGGAAGATCGAGGATCAATAGGCCCTGTTGGAATTCAAAAAGCAAGGGCAGTTTGCGGTCGCTCATCGAATCTCCCAGTTTGCAATCGCGAACTGTTTCTCTCAACTCGCAGGTTTCGGAGCTGTAAACAAGTATCGTTATATTTCATATACTTGATATCAAATGCTATACAAGAAGCTATATGTATAGAGCAAACAGGGTTCCATATACAAGGATATACAAAATGGGCTAAGCCCAACTCTACTAGGGTTTCTACACTCCCCTCAAGTTGGAGCATATAAATCATATGTACCAAGCTTGTTACAAATATATCCCACTCTAGGACCTCTAAGAGACTTAGTTAGAATATCTGCAAGTTGTTCGGTTGTGTTGACATAATTTGTGATGATATGTCCGCTCGCGATCTTCTCTCTGATAAAATGGCAATCAACTTCAATATGCTTAGTCCTCTCATGATATACCGGATTTGATGCAATGTGCATTGCGGCTTGGTTGTCACACATGAGAAGATGCTTCAACCATAAGATTTAACATGTCGCAAGGGCCATTGCACGATATTCTGCTTCAGCACTAGATCTGGCAACCACATCCTGTTTCTTACTTTTCCATGAGATTAAGTTTCCACCAATCAAGATGCAATATCCCGAAGTGGAATGTCTATCCATCGAACATCCGGCCCAGTCTGCATCACAGTATCCTACAATATCATGATGGTCTCGGTCTTCGAACAGCAATCTTTGCCCAGGTGTTTTCTTGATGTATCTCAAAACTCGAATAGCTGCATCCCAATGTCCATTACATGGTTTATCAAGAAACTGAATAAGGACACTTACCGCAAATGAAATATCTGGCCTCGTGATGGTAAGATAATTCAATTTGCCAATGAGTCTTCTATATTTTTCCCTGTTGGGCAAAAGATCTCCCTGTTCTGACAAGAGTTTGACGTTTGGATCCATAGGTGTATCCACTGGCCTGCAATCTAGCATACTTGTTTCATCAAGAATATCCAATGCATATTTTCTTTGTGAAATGGCAATTCCATTTTGAGACTGTGCGACCTCAATGCCAAGAAAGTATTTCAACTTTCCCAAGTCTTTTGTTTGGAATTTGCTAAAGAGATATTGCTTCAGGAGTGCAATTCCTTGTTCATCGCTACCTGTAATGACAATATCATCAACGTATACAACAAGATAAATACATTTGTTGCCTGCAGAATGTCTATAAAATATAGAATGGTCGACATCACTGCGAATCATGCAAAAATCGCAGATAACGGCACTAAACCTCCCAAACCATGCACGTGGTGATTGCTTCAAGCCATATAAAGCACGACGTAATCTGCATACCAAATCAGACTCCCCCTGAGCAACAAAACCAGGTGGTTGCTCCATATAAACCTCCTCATGCAGATTACCATGAAGAAATGCATTTTTAATATCCAATTGGAATAATGACCGGTGGCTCATTGCTGCCATGGATAAAATCAAACGAATCGATGCAATCTTCGCTACAGGAGAAAAAGTGTCAGTGTAATCCAAACCATAAATCTGAGTATACCCTTTTGCCATAAGGCGTGCTTTAAAACGATCAAATTGCCCATCAGGACCAACTTTAACGGTGTAGATCCACCGACACCCAACCACTGATTTGCCAGGGGGTGGGGAACTAATTCCCACGTCCCACTAGAATGAAGAGCCTCCATCTCAGCCAACATGGCTTTACGCCATTCCGGATGTGCCAATGCCTCGTGTGTTGTTTCAGGGATGGGTATATGAGAAAAGTGTGAAATGAAAGCAAAGTAAGGGGTAAAGAGGCGGTGGTAACTCAAAAAGTTATATATGGGATGTGGATTCAAAGTAGAACGCGTACCTTTTCGGAGGGCAATGGGCAAATTATCTGGAGTGTTTCCAGGTGGTGCGATAGGTGATGGTGATGATGCAGGAACCGTCATAGGGGAATCAACTGGCGTGGCCACGATAGGCTCAATGGGAGGAGGTCGAGGGCGACGATGGTAAACTTGTAATGGAGGAGGGTCTACCACAGGAGAGCAGTGGGGGTGCTCATCAGATGGAGGGGAACTAACAGTTTCTGGATGGATGGGCCAGAGATATGAGATGAAGTCCAAACATGATGGAGTGTCAGCAGCAAATAATGGGTAATAAAAGGAGGACTCGATAAAAGTGACATCAGTCGAAATAAAATGCTTCTTAAATAATGGAGAATAACAACGATAACCCTTTTGGACTCGTGAATATCCAAGAAAAATGCATTTTATTGACCTAGCTAACATTTTAGATAATCCAGGTGTAAAATCATGGACAAAACACACACACCCAAACACATGAGGTGGTAATGGAAATAACTCACGAGTAGGAAACAAGACAGAATAAGGAATTTCATTATGAATAACCGAGGAAGGCATTCTATTTATTAAATAACACGCGGTGAGTACAGCGTCTTCCCAATACTGAGGTGGTGTATGTGAATGTAATAACAGAGTGCGGGCAGTATCCAATTTGTTGAGGCGTGTGTACACAAGAAGACTGGTGAAGCATACCCCGTGATGTCATGAAGTGATTAAAGGGTGACGCAAAAAAATCTTTAGCATTATCACTGCGTAAAATTTTGATAGAATGACCAAACTGAGTGTGGATTTCAGCACAAAAAGTTTGAAAAATATGGAATAATTCAACACGTTCTTTCATTAAAAACAACCATGTGTAACGGGAAAAGTCGTCCACAAAAATAACAAAATAGCGAAATCCTAAAGTAGAAATGACTCGATATGGACCCCATATATCTGTATGAACTAAATCAAAAGGGGACGCAGCCCGTTTATTAACACGCCTTGGAAAGGATTGACGAGGTTGCTTTCCAAGGTGACATGACTCACAATCTAAAGACGAAAGACTTGAGAAACCTGGAACCATACGTCGAAACTTGGAGAGGCTAGGATGACCCAAACGGTTATGTAACGTTAATGCAGGTTCAGCGGAGACACAAGCGATTGGATCAACAGGAGGAAGATGATACAAGCCTTGAGATTCATGTCCGACGCCAATCGTCTTCCCCGTACGACGGTCCTGCACAATTACAGAATCGGCAAAAAAGGTTATAGAACAATCAAGAGCACGCGTAATTTTACTAACAGAGACAAGGTTAAAGGGGCTATTGGGAACATATAAGACTGAATGTAATGGTAAGGATGAAAGTGGAAGTGCTTGCCCAATACCTGTGGCCGAAGTTTGATGGCCATTAGCTAGAGTAATTAAAGAAGGTGTTGGTGCTTAGTAATATGGGACAAAAGATGGGGATTACCAGAAATATGGTCGGAAGCACCTGAGTCAATGATCCATGAGCCTGCGGTGTTTGAAACACAAGCGGTAGACGTACCAGGTGCAGACAAAGGCACATTAGCCGACTTAAATTTCTTATATGTGGCATATTCAGTTGGAGATAGAATAACCGGAGATGGCGGGATCTGAGCAACAGTGGCTGACCTAGGAGGTCTTCCGTGTAACTTCCAACATCTATCTTTAGTATGACCAAACTTATGACAGTAGTCACACTTAGGTCGGCTTTGACGCAGATATCCTTTGTTGTTTCCTCCGTCGGGCCCCACACCATGAGATGCAAGAATGGTAGAATCAGTAGAACCCAATTCAGCAGATATCGGGGCCGCACGAAGAATTCGAGAAAAAGCCTTTGTCATAGTTGGAACAGTGGAACTAGAGAGAATTTGTTCACGTATAGATAACAGCTCTGGGCGAAGACCCGCCAAAGCTAAAACCATAACAAGTTGTTGTCGTTGCTCTAGTTGTTTCTCTCTATCTTCCGTGATGGGTTGAATGGTACTATACTCGAAGAGTAAAGCCTCAACCCGACCTAAAAAATCCTGGATGTCCAATTTTTGTTGCTTGAGCATGGTAATTTTGGATCTGAAAGAAAACAGACTTTCAATATCATTAGTGTAATTAGACTTGGCTTTCTCCCAAATCTGTTTACACGTTCGATATGATTGATATGTAAGATGAAGTTTGGAGTCCATGGATTGCCACAAAACATTGCATAACAACGCATCCATATTCTCCCATTCCATTTTGTTATCCTTGACTGAATTGGCATCTGTAAGCAAGTGATCAATTTGCCCTTGACCTTTGAACCACATCTCCACCGAAATGGCCCATGATTGATAATTAGCACTTCCAACCAAACGGTCCGTTGTAATAACAGGAACCGAAGCAAATGAAGAAAATCCAGAAGATATTTTTTTTTATTTTTTTTAATTGAAAGAGAGAAAAGTAAATATGAGTAATTTAAAATTACTGCTGCAAGGAAAAAACTATAGGAAAGAGGATCTGTGAAATAAAAGAAAGCAGCAGTAGCAAACCAGAGAGCAAAAGCAGCGGAAGAACTGTCAGGTGAAACGGCTGGAGCAGCGGTGAACGGCCAGAGCAACGGCGAGCGGACAAAGAGACGGCGACGGCGACGACGATGAACGATCTAGGCGGCGCGTGGGTTCGGCGGCGGCGCATGTGATCGGCGGCGGCGCGTGAGTTGTCCGATGAGTGGCTGGTTTATGTTGTTTTGGTCGCCAGGAGTCACAGATCTTCAGTGTGTCTTCTGTGTGATCTCTGGATAACTAGAACGGAGTAGATCTGCAAATATGTAAGTAAGCTACAAGAAGGGGCGGTGGCGCGTGAGGGCGCGTGGTAGCCTCCGTGCCGGTACTGTTCCGGGCGGTTGGTCGCGATGATATGCTGAGCAAGGCGGTAGGTGTAGATCGGATATTCACTACCGGAAATGTGCTCCAACACCAATCGCATCTACTGTTCACGCCGGAAATTATGTCGGAAACCAGCGCCCTAAACTGTTTGTCATATAGGCTCTGATACCATGTGAACAAGTATCGTTATATTTCATATACTTGATATCAAATGCTATACAAGAAGCTATACTTATAGCTATATTTAGAGCACTAGGGTTCCATATACAAGGATATACAAAATGGGCTAAGCCCAACTCTACTAGGGTTTCTACAGGAGCCAAAGGTCTTCCACTGTTCGCAGGCTTCCTCATCCACTAGCCATTCACGTCAACTAGCCGCTTCTCAAAGTTCGTCGTCTCTAGCCGATCCTCACAGTTCCTCTTCACGAGCTGCTTTGACCAATTCGCAGTTTCTCACTGCTCGCAAGTTGCATCGCAGGTTTCTGAGTCGACTCAAGTTTCCTCACTGGGGATTTCATCGACACCAAACATTGAGTGAAAGTCGGCTTAACCCTAAGTTCCGGAATCGGATCCTGACAAGGATACTAATCAACTGACGGGATACTCACCAGATAATCTGGAAGAGCCCGAACCACTCAAACCTGATATTATTTACAGTCAGGAAGGAAATCGTACCTAGCACATTGATACTGACTTGGAACTGAACAACAATATCACAGGGGCTGATGAGGAGAGCCTGTCTCACCTACGAATCAGTACCTATGACGTTTGAAGTGTGCACCGTCAGATATCAAAGGGAATTTTGGAAGGGCTGACTGAGTTTGATGGCTTCAGATTTGATGGAGTTACTTCTATTAAGAACATTCAAAATGGATTGGGGAAAGGAATTGCTGGAAATTGGAAGGAAAAAGTTGGTGAAACTATTGATGGTTACGCTGACATGTTCCTGATGCTTGTCAATGAAATTAATCCTGCTATCTTCCAAGATGCCTTGATAATTGGTGAAAATGTAAGGAAAGTGCCAATAGTTTGTATACCTGTTCGGGGGGGTGCAGGTTTGGACTATAGGTTTCATATGGCAATTACTCGTCAATGGGTAAAGATACTCAGGAAAGGAGAGGAGGCTTGGGCATTGGGTGACTGTGTTCACACACTTATTAATAGGAGATTGATGGAGAAATGTGTTGTTTATGCTGCAAGTCAGAACCAAGCTTGGTGGGTGAAGTGGCAAAGGGAGTTGAAAACGTATATAGCTCAAAGAGCATATTCAGGATCAACCAATCCCAAAGAGTATTCCAAGATTCAAAATGCGACAACTTGAAATGCCAGAGATAATGCAGATACAAACATAAGAGAGTACCACCTTATATGGCAATCTATATAAACCAGATGAAGCAAGGTTTGACCTCTGCCATATAAAACTATGATTCATTTATATGGGCGTTCTAGTATCCAACATATCAGTGATTCATGGGCAAACACAGTTGACATGAAAGCTCAGTTTCTAAGTAGGGGCATTTTAGTTTAGAAGCTCCAGGGTACAGGGGGGACTACTACGCCAGTGAATTGTGGGAACGGTGTTTGTGGTGGGGATTATGTGTTGGAACGAAGTGGCCCAACTGCATGTTATGTAGCAATGGTTTCAGATTCTGATACTCCTGAGAGCTTCTGGGCATGGTTCGCAATTGCGCAATGCAATTGCGCCCTATGGCGCGATTCTGCTATTTGGAAGACTAGCGTAAAATTGCATTGCACATTGCGATTGGGCCTGTGGCATACATTTTTTACTCTTAAGGCGTACGCAATATAACGTAGGCCATGAGGCGTATGTAAGGCGTATGTTAAATTGTTTAATGGTAAAGTACTTTTTGGCCCGCTGCGCCCACTTATTAGTAAAAGCACATCATTTAGTTCGTTATATACGGCCTCCATTCTCTCCGCAATTACTCAATTAGCAGTTCCTTCCACCGCGGCACCGCCTTCTTCCAGTTTAATCGCAAATAGCCGTTCCTTCCAGTTTGGTCGCAAGTCGCAATCAACAGGTAAGGTGAACCTCTTGCAGATAAGGTGAACCTCTTGTACAGTTCTTCGAATATGCGGTACTGCTTCTCTTTCAGTCTTTTGATGCTTAGTTTTTACTTTTGTTTCTATTGAATTTAATACTTAATATTACTGTTAATTTTTTGTCTATTAAGCTTACAATTTTCTCTGTTTGATGCCTTTTTGTTTCTATTCAATTAAACACTAATTAATGTTAATTTTCTGTCTATTAATGTTAATTTATTGACTATTAATATTTTATTATTCTCATTTGATTAAGTTTCAACTTATCAATATTTATGTTCAGTTAATATATTTAATGATAACATCAACTTTGATTTAATATTGATATCAAATTTTCTGTTTAATTTAATGTTAAACATTAATATTTATTTATTTATTTATTTATTTATTTATATTTACGCCTCACCTATACGCCTCATTGCGCAATGAGGCTTACGCAATATGCAATTCTAAAAATCCGCCATGATTACGCAATACGCAATTACGAACATTGCTTCTGGACACACAAAATGCGGTCTGAAATTCTCCTCCTTCAGGTGTGACAGCACTTTGATCAGTTGACTGAGTATTCAAAGTTTTCTATGCGGAGAAATGTTACATGGATTGTGTCAAATTTCTGTCAAGGCAGACTGCTTTGTGATCTTGTGTTATGTACAGATCCAAGAATTGCTACTGTGTGCCTCGAAGGGTTAGAGAACATTCTGAAAGTAGGCAAAGCGGAAAAAGAAAAGGAATTGAATGGGGGGGATCAATTCAGAAACGAGTGCCGGTGGAACGTTTATCTTTGACAACGTATTTCCATGGAGTTTTTATCTCCAGCCTTCACTCCTGTATGCGGTGAAAGATGGGAAAATGAAGGTTCAAATCATGAAAATCAGGGTTCAGAAATCAGGGAGGTACTGGGAAGGGAGAGAGGTACAAGGATGAAGCTGTTGGTATGGCAGTTTCCTACTCCCCCCACCTCGAGGACAAGGTGGTTGTCAAAGGGGGGAGTAATGAATAGGGACCAAGACAATAAAGATTAGTGATAGAATAATATGGAGTAATAAATACTGTTAGTGTACAAGTGAGGGTTTTGGGCCTTGCTTGTGCCAGCTCTTTAGGATAGGAATATTATAAAAAGGGGAAGGAGGGTAGAATAGAGGAGGCTGGAATTATCATTTGGGCTTGGGACTTGGAGAGTTGGCACTCTTTAACTGCCTTGTAATTTCTCTCTCTTTTCTGTTGTACAAACCACCTCCATTGTTACGTATCTTGATTTCTTCCATAGTTAGCTCTTTGAAATTACTGTAAACTGGTCTGTAACCTATCAACTTCTTGGACAAAACTACCCTAGACATCCCAAACCAACTTACTTTGCCTGTTGAACCATATGATCAGGAAGAGGCCCCAACACTCTCTCCATCATTGCCAAATGTTCCAAGTTATCGTGTGTCTGGAAAAGCGATTCACCCTAAAACAACATTTAACGCAAAACACATTTATGGCACTCAGAAATTCATAAATTTAATATCATTGAGGTCAAGGTATGAGAAAGAATGTGGTAACAGATATGAAGAGCTAACCGTGCAAAGTTCAACAAGTATACAACCTACACTCCACAGGTCACACGGATAGGTCCATCCTAAACCTGCAAAAGAATGTGCACTAAAAATAAAGAGCTAAATACCATTTATTGTAAATGTATATATTAAGCTAAGTGCACACACAGACTAAAAATAAAGAGCTAAACACTAGGCAGTAGCCTTATTATATGGATGAGATTATTGGGCAATTGAGAAACTGAGAAATATTTAATAATAATAAAAAGTTTGGTGGAGATGTGTACGAATACTATGATAATATTAGTGCACGGAAGGTTAGAATTTATAAAAAATATAAAGTGAGAGATGGTATGCGTATTTCAGTAACGTGGCTGTGTGTTGCAAGGTTCAAAATTACGTATTTCTTGTAGGCATGGCGTTTTTAAATTGCATTTTGTGTAAGCCTCATTGAGCAATGAGGTGTATGCCTGACACGTTTTATATATATATATATATATATATATATATATATATATATATATATATATGTATGTATATATATAGACACACACACACACATAAACACACAACAACAACAACCCAGCCTTAGTCCCAAAAGATATCGGGGTCGGCTAACATGAATGATGAATCGATACATGATATCGCCACCAAAAGGAAATGAAAGAAAATAAAGATAAGCTATAATAAAAAAAGATATAAAAAGAGATGAGTACACATAAAAATGAAAAAATAAAAGGATAAAAATAATGTTTATATATATAAGGATAAAAGGATAAAAAAACAAGGAAAAAAAGATGATACGAGATCACTCCTCCCCACGAATACCCGCCCTCCACTTTGCTCTCTCTAAAGCCATACCCTCATCCAACCCAAGAAGAAGCATATCCCTTTGGACTCCCCTAACCCACGTCTGTTTGAGCCTTCCTCTCCATCTCTTCCCTGCCTCTTCTCCACACATCTCAACTCGTCTAACAGGTGCATCACTCGGTCTTCTATACACATGACCATGACCAAACCATCGTAGGCGCGACTCACGCATCTTGTCTTCAATAGGCGCTACTCCCACCCTTTGTCTGATTGTCTCATTCCTCACTCGGTCTTTCCTAGTATGCCCACACATTCACCGCAGTATGTGCATCTCTGACACTCATCTTTTGAATGTGACATTGTTTCGCCGCCCAACACTCTACGCCATACAGTAATGCAGGCCTAATTGTTGTCCTATAAAATTTACCCTTCAGTTTAGTCAGCATACCTCGATCGCATAGAAATCCTGACGCACTCTTCCACTTCATCCACCCTGTTCTGATTCTATGAGATACATCTCCATCTAACTCACCGTCTTTCTGAATTATGGAGCCCAAGTAACGGAAGTACGGAACATATCGCTAACCGGTATCTCCTTACCATCTAGAGTAATTCCGCTATTACCACTGCTTCTACCTCCACCAAACTTGCACTCCATGTACTCTGTCTTGCTCCGACTTAATCTGAAACCCTTGTTCTACAATGTTTGTCGCCATACTTCCAGCTTTGCTTTAAGACCTGATTGCGTCTCATCAATCAATACAATATCGTCGGCAAACATCATGCACCACGGTATATCATCTTGAATTGACTTCGTAAGTTCATCCATGACTATGGCAAATAAAAAAGGGCTCAGAGCCGATCCTTGGTGCACTCTGATAGTAATAGGGAACTCCTCAGCCCTCCCTACACTAGTACGGACACTTGTAGTACAATCCTCAATTCCTCATACATATCCATGATGATGTTGATATACTTGCGTGATATGCCTTTTCTAGTTAAGTCCCACCAAAGAACTTATTCACCAAAAGTCATCAAATGTCATATTAAAAAAATTATAATATGTTGAAATAGGGATCGCAAACAAAGAATATGTTAATTATAGAAGTTGAAGATGTGGGCCGAGTGAGCCTGAATAATACCCTTACACCCAGCGCCTTATTGTGTACGCCTATGAGCGTCTTATTGTGTATGCAATATTGTGTGCACCTCATGCCCAGCGACATAGACAAAGCCTTTTACACCATAGTCCAAGAATTAGTTGAGGTGTGCCATGAGGCGCAATTGCATTGCGCAATTACAAGCAATTGTGTGCCGGATCTTTTTGAGACTTCAAACTAAGGTTGGGTTTTGTTGAGGCCCAAAACTACCATGACATCCTTTTGAAGTTCTCAGGCATTATCATTCATTGGGGTGGGGTCGGACCGGGTTGGTCCGGGTTTTAAGAGTTACGAGTGCAGTCCGGGTTTAGGTTGAGACCATGGGAAAAACTGCTTTCAGAATCTTTTGTGATGAGTTATGACGTTTTCTTAAAATGTTCTCAACTATTGCACGCACAGATGTATGTACATACATACACAGTCATACATATATACATACACACACACATATGAATAGGTATACATATATGTTTTTGTTTTTGCATGAATATAAGAAATACACATACGCCACAAGCATAACTTTAGAAGTGAAAACTATTCTCATTTGTTTTCCTTTTGGAATAAAACAAAACAACTCTTGCAAGTTACATTAACAATAACAGTTTCTATCAGCTCTAGTTATTACCATTATCTAATTATTATCATTGGCATTCCTACATACATATTATATTTTGTTATCTTTGAACTTTTATAAGGTTTGCTTAAAATTTGAAGTATCCCTTCACTACAATTTTGAAACTGTTATCACTGTCTCCAATTAGATAGAAAGAATTGAAATGTAAGTTACACCAATGTAAAGAGAATAGAAGGAATGCATATACCATCCCCAGTAAACCATATACCTAAAATAATCTCGGGTGCTCTGTAATGCCTTGTGGAAGCAATGGAATTGTGAATCCGGTCATCAAACACGGTACTACCAAAATCAATCACCTTAATAGCACTTGATTTTGGCAAGCACTTGACAGCTGTATCAACTGAACTCCTCTGTAAAATTCAAACAATGCATAAAGAGGCACACACACGTACATACTTAAATATAATCCCTCCTACCTAAAAAAGATTACCCTTTCCTTTTTGTCTGTCCCAAAGCAATGGCCTTCTTTCCTGTTAAGGAAATAATTGTGCAATTTTTTTCTCTCTCATCTGCGTAAGTTTTAAATAAACAATCCCATTGTTCATAGCAAGTATGAAAAGTCAAAGTGGAGCCTATTATTGTGTTCCTACGCCCCAAAAGAAGATTCTTTCTTTTTCCATGTGTCCCAAAATAAGGTTCTTCCTAAAGAACTGTGTAGTTCAGGTCGTATACTTTAACTCCAGAAGTTCAATGTTCTTATAAAGTGTGCCAAGGCCATGGGGAACCTTTTTGTGGGACAGAGGTATAATATATAATCCCAGTAAAGCTAGCCAGCAAGCATTTTAGTCAATTACTCCAAACAGGCTTGGAAATAATTTGAGTGGTTTACGTAGCCATCCATAACTCTTAAAAGCTTGTATACCTTCATCCAGTTGACAAAAAACTAAAACGTTTAACTCACTTAAAAGGATTTTTTCTTATTTTCTTTCTTCTTCTTTTTTTTTTGGGGGGGGGGGGGGGGCGAAGTTTTACTAAATACATATTCAGTTTTCATTATCTTATAATATGAAGTCTATAATGCAACACACCTTGAAGCTTGGAAGCATCACACATTCAGAAGACACAAGGAGTATATTTTCTGGCTTTAGATCAGTGTGGACTAACCGTAAATGGTGCATATCTGTGAAATACAAATAAGCTCGCATGGGTTAAGAAGCAAGCTACTGAGAATAGCATAATGATACATTAATACCCCGAGAGGGATCATGTTAATAGAAAAACATTTATGTAAGGAAACCCAAAAGCGAGACACGCACATGTCACAGACTCCAAAAGCTGACGAGCAAAATCCTGAACCAGATCCACAGGAAGTGGGCAGTACCTATTTCTCTTCAGAAAATCATATAAACTTGGTCCAAGCTTCTCAAACACCTTTTAAACACCATCCAAACTAAGCATAAGGAACCTCTAACTTTTTTTGAGTACTTATATACTGATTGAAAAGAGGTGCATATAGCTTAACTCGAGCTACTGTCTACTGTATCACAACGTGCAAAAACAAGACTAGGATAGCAAGAGGTTACAGAAATAGTTGGAAAAGTAAAATGAACTGCTGCTCTGCGCCTCTGCCCCATATCATATCTTATTTAACCTTATCTTATTATATAAAAAACAAAGACCAAATCAGAGCATTTTCCCTCACAAAACTACAGGTCAGAAATGGGTCCAAACGGGTCTTGAAATGAGTTTTGAAAATTGGGTCAGATGTAGTAGTCAAGTCCCATACGGAAGAAGAAATCAATATGGAGTAATGATTTCATATTTTCATGTAGCTTCTTGAGCCACGTGATGAGGGCTTCACAACCTATATGTGAGCTAAGGAATAATGATGTCCAATTCCATTGAACCACGTGCTTAAACAACAAGTAGCCATTAGGATATAATTCATCATAAATTGAGTAAATGAGTTAAAGGACTATTTGTAGTATGACAGGTGAGTGAGAGAGATTATTTGATGATATAAAGTGATAAACCTGAGAGCAAAACGTGAAATTGGACTATTTGTGAAAGTAGGGCATATATGTATTATGTAAGCATAGGACCACAAAAGGTAATAATATCAATATATTTGTATTTTATGTCATCATCATCATCATTACCCCAGTGCCGCAAAGGCTCCCAACTACGGTGAGGTAAGGGGGGTCAGATGTACGCAGCCTTACCCCTGTACTAAAGCACAGAGAGACTGTTTCCGGATGACCCAAAGTGAAAATTTCATCAAAAATTGTGAAAATGTGTATAAAGAATTTAATTTATGAGTTTGACATGAAATTTGAGAAGAAAGAGTGAAAATGTGACTTAAAAGTAAATCAAAATGAATGCAACAATAACATCCGAGCTTAAGAAACTTTAATCTCAAAGGAGTTTGGGTCGGCTAACATGAATTCACATATGACATCAAACTAATTCAAAATGAATATTAAAAAAAGTACAAACCTATAGTTCCTACATAGAAATAAGAATACAATTTAAATATTATCTGTTTGATGTCATAAATTACCAAACGGACCTCAAAATTAACTGTGATTCATGGATTAAAATACCTTGTTATTAAATTGTAAACATGCATACTCTAAGATAACTAAATGTCACTGTTCATGGCACGGGGGAAATGTAGTTACTTACAATGCATATATGATTGCGATAATCAAACCAGTCCAGTATCTGCACACAACTACAAGATGCACAAGTAAAATCAGACAAGACATTGAAAAGGCAAACACCAAACCGAGGATAAAAGAAGCCCTACTCAAATTTGGTAGAAGTGAACATACTGTGAATAGGCTGTATCATTCTCACAAAGACGATGGAGCACATCAACCTCAGCCATTGCTGCTTTACGATATTTTTCAATGCTTCGTATAACTTTAATAGCTACAAAATCTCGGGTTTGACGGTCCCAACATTCCAAAACTCGACCAAAGGTGCCTACAGCACTAGCAATTTGCTGATTCGAAACAAGAATGATGTATAAACATAATGTTTTGTTTGTCAACAGGCACACGACCGCTAACCTTGACCCATTTTGTTGAGAATTTTATCTGTAAAACACACGAGAAAAGATGATCCATATAATTCAGCTTGAGAGTAACTAACATCACAAGATGTCCTGTTCCAAGTTTCCAACATATTTAAGCCAACTAGTATTTGTTCCGACTCTAGTATAAGAATCTTTGTTAACTAGTTTTAAACAATAAATTGATACAAAATATCATACTACCAGCCCCACGTTATTGGGATAAGGTGATGATGATAGATGATAATGTTCAAAGCTTTTGATGGAAGTCTTTGTTTATTAACTCATCATAAACATATAAGTACATGACAGAGTCATCAAAGTTGCATCAAAACACAACTTAAAATCTTGAGTTCTCGACAAGGATTCAGCTTAATGCAACAATGGCAAACATAGCTGCAGTATCCCTAAACAAGTATACAAGTACAAAGTCAGTTTTCATAGTGCATCAAGCAGAATTGAGTATGATTATTTGAAATAACAGTTCTTTTCCACAGATGTGGTTTTCTAACAGTCTACATACATTACCACAATAATGAAATTTGATGTAGAGATATCAAATATACTATACGATGGAAGGAAAGCAATACAGTCTTTTTGTTTTTACATACAGAATAGAGGAAGACAAAGAAAACCAGGACAAGATAAATTTCTGGCATTGCAATCACACCACATCTGCCACAGGACATCTTGCCCCTGAGGCCCATATTTTAAAAAAAGGAACATTTATCCTATTTCTTTGTCATTTGTATCAGTCAAAGTCATTTCAATGCTAGGTATCTACATACTCCATAACTGTAATGCACCCAGCCACTTGAGCTAGCCTCAAGTGGCAACAATAATCCCATAAACACAGTAGGAATAGCACTGCAAAATGAAGTATCAGTGCAATTTCAAGCATATATGTGAAATATTATTGAACGCACAAAATTATGCTCACGAATTCATATCCAAGAAACAAGTAGCTATAATGTTCTTTAAAGAACATTGTAATTAAGTACTTGAAAGACTACTAACATCTTGGTGTCAGGTTTTCGCCTAGACTGAAGACGTAATGGCCCTCGTGGTTATCGTCTCTCTTAGGTGGTGACAGGTACCGAGACCGAGGTGGAACCTCTACTCTATGTGTTTCTATACCCTTTCCCTCGGCCTACACACAACAAAAAACGCACCGCCTCAGAATATCAGATTCCATAATTCTGTCTCTTCTTGCTTTCAACGCCTAAAACCCTAAACCAAACTCTAATAACCGAACCTCGATTCCTCGATTTCCTGGAGTATCTGGCGCAACATCCCAAGCCAAACGTCGGCGTTTCCTAGAGTGCTCCTTCTCATTCACCGTCGTGTTTCCATGATCAATCGCCACCATTTACAGAGCTGTAAAGCGACTAATCTTTTGATACACCTATATTCCTCTGCAACCAAAAGACCCAAAAAAACGATCGCTAATTCGCGATGAACAATCTCAGGTTTGATTTTATTCTTATTCGTGGTTAACAATCTTTCTACTTTTAATTTTTCCACTTTTAGTCCTCGACTATTGTGCGAGAGACACTTTTTGTATCCGTCTTTGAAAATTTTCGTATTTAGTCCTTCGACTTTTGTAGAAGTGACACTTTTGGACCTTCAACTATTCCTATAGAGACATTTTAAGTCTTCCACTTATTGTGTCAAAATCATAGTAGAAGGACTAAAAGTGTCAATTTGATAATACTCAAAGGACTAAATGTGGGAAACTTGAAAGTAAAGGACTAAAAGTGTCTCACGAACAATAGTCGAGGACTAAAAATGGAAAAATTAAAAGTCGTGTACCAAAAGTGTCACTGACACAATACTCGGGGGACCAAAAGTGGCAAAAACTCTTAAATAAAGGCTATGTTTGGCTCGGGTGTAGGTTAGATCTGGTATCTCTACAATTCTATATCTCTACAATTCTATAAACATGAATAATGTTAGGCGTATAACGGTCATAGAAAAAGTGTTGGCGTCTCTCTATGCATTAAACAGTTGTACGGAATGCCTAATTTACTTCCCCCATAAATCATACGGCAAGCACAAGACTAACGGAACCCTTCCGCTTACACTCGATTGAATGTGTTCATCCATGCTTTTGTTCAATTAAATTTGTTAGAGCTTCCTTTACTCACCATTATTGCTTCTTCCAGACCCTCCATCCTCTACGTTTTTCCGTTCAGAGTGTTTAAGGGGTCGCCCTGATACCGGAAGAGTGAAGAACCCAAGAAGAAGGTTCCTGGGTTTGGGAATTCGGTACACACCGGGCTGACTGTAACTCGTTTTTAATACTCCCTATGTATTGCAAAAAAATGTCCTGGGACAAGGGCCCCTCCCTCTGCCCCTGGTGGAGAAGCTGCAATAGCCAACAGCGCAGAGGCAGCTAAAGGACTGCCGCTGGCGTCTAGCAAGGTGGAGGAGTAAGCTTCCGTTTTGACATATTTATAACCACGAAAACCCCGTCTTCATCCACGGAAAAACCCATTTTTGCCATCTGCATTTCTTCTATTTTACATGAATTTTTCTTTTCAATTCATGTGATCTCATTATTCTTTAAATAAACTTTCTTTTAATTAGAATGCTTGATTTGATTTATATGTTATCTGTTTAAAGTTGATAATATTATGTTAGTTAAAGATAATAAGTATTGCTTCTTGATTTACATTTGGATGCTACTCCTTCACTGGGTTCTTTAGTTTTGAAAACTCGCTCAAATAAAGAGTTTAAATCTCAATCCATATATGGCTATTTTGTTATTAGGATATGCATATTTCTTAAATACTTCTTTTAGTGCAGGTTATATGATGCCTGCTCTATGGTTTTGTAATGCCCAATTGTTATAAACTATAAGTAAATTTGTCCATATATTTTACTTTTGTTATAGGGATAGTAGTATATTTGTCAAGTTTTTTAAGGTATGTTATGCTTCGTTACCATTCTTAAATGTTTATTTCTTTACCATGATGTTTGGTTGTTGACTATGTCACAAATGATAATTACGGAGTATATTGCTGCATGGTTATACTTAGTGCTACTCTTTTATCGGGCTCTGTAATAGTGGGTTTCTTCTTTGATGTCTATTGGTGAGCCATATTATATGGCTTATCAGTCCAATTCATAAGTTCTTGCTTTTTTTATATACAGACACTACCCAAATTCGTTAAGCACTTACTCTCATATGTTGACATGGTTGTTTTCATACGTTTTGATTTCATATGTTAATTTGGATGCACTTACTACAGTAGATTTTTGTATGAAATGACATTAAAAATACTTCAACACCAGTGCCATAACAAGAAGGCTCTGCTATTGCTGCTGCTATACATGGGTTCATCCTACATAAAGTGTTATCATGATGATGATATCATCATCATAGTTGTGTTAGAAAACACCCTAAGTAGGAACAAGCCATGTAATAACTTTTTTGGGAGGCTGGGAGCTTGTGTATATTGTTATCTGTTCTTAGTTACTACTACATATTATGTTATTTAATTATATTGTCTTATCTCTCCTTCATTTTTACAGTGAGAGAAATAAGAGAATATTATTATGGAGTCCGTTTGGCAATACCAAATCAACTGTATTGACTATACATATCCCAAACTTCCATGCCAAATTTTTTCAATGATTAGTAGTTGCTTTACAAATGTCATATATTGAGTGACGTTTCATTATAGTATTTCTCTTTTGGTTATCGAATCATCTTTATCACAATTTCTAAATGTTGATAGTAGAAATCTGCAATGCTTAAGTTTTTTCAACTTTGTATGCAATAGTATTGAATGCTCAGTTGCTTATAGTTTTTACAACTAAAGAAATATCTACACGGATTGTTTATTCTTTTCACAAGTTCGTGATATTGTTTTTTGTTTTTTCGTCAGATTTGAGGAGAAATGGCTGAATGGAAAGTGTTAGGCTAAAGTTAGCAAATGTGTTCCGGCAGCCTCTTTACATATTAACCACAAATGAACAGCTCCTCGAGAATGAAGAATATAAAGAGAGAGCTTCCATGAAAGCATCTACCAACTATTTTATTTGGGATTAAAACGTGCATAACCATTTTATATTCAAAATTAAAAAGTATATCATTAAATATGATTGACACAATAATCTCATATTTAGAAAGTGGGTTGGTTTACAAAATATGGCAATGTGTAAATTTTCGAATGATTTTGAAAAATATGAAGTGATTTTATTTTAATTAAATGTAATGTTACTATTAGTGTTTGTTTAAAAGTTGTCACCATTTGTTAAAGATGAATGCAGATAATATACTATGTATAATTTTATTAAACTTTTAATTGTGTTTCACAATAATACATTAGTGTATGTATGCTTTATCTTTATTTGTTAAATTAATATGCTTGTAATATCATTGGGCATTTACACGAACGTGCATAGCGCGTTACTGAACTAGTTTTTGTAATACGTTAGAACTTCAGGTCCTTAGTTTATGTATCACGTTCCTACTCCTTAGAACTTCAGGCCCGGTAAATTACACGGCGCAGCCGGCCGTACCTAGAGCATGGTACAGCCGGGTTTTTTTGTAATTACCTTCAAGATTGAGCTTCGTTGTTTAATGTGATGTTCGTCCTTCGCGCTGAAGATTCCGTCTTTCTCCTAGGTTTATTTCAGTCGTCTCTTTCTTCTCTACGACATTCGATCTCTCCAGCTGAAAGATTCTGTTTGGTCATCATTGCAAGTAATATTTTTTCTTCCTCCAGTCCTTTCTTTCTTCTCTATCGCATTCGATCTCTTTCTTCTCTATCGCATTGTCTTCATCTATTTTTCTTCTTTGTTGTTTGGATTTTCGATCTTTCTTCCTGTTGTTTACTTCGTCATATTTATTATTTATTCCGTTTGTTCTTGCACAGATTTACGTTTTTGCAGTTGTTTTTGACCACTGAAGGTGTAAGTAAGTACTTCTTGTTAAGTTATTATCTTCTCTCGTTGGAACAAAATCTTTTTTTCATTCAGTTCAAATGTTTTATGTTGCATCACTTTTTTTATCCAAGAATTGATACTATGTCTAGTTCTGAAGGTAATTTTTTAAATAACATGTTCATTGTATTTGATTTTTTTGTTATGTTTTTTATTTTATTTTTTGATGAGTATTGCTTTACTTAGTAATGATTATCTATTTTTTTGAACTGTTATCCCCTGTCTAGATAATATGTCTTGCAGCGGCAAATTAATAGAGGAAATTGAGGCCAGGGGTGAACTTTTTGAAGCTGATTGCAGTAATATTTTCTATCCTAACAAGTCACATATTTTTTGAGGTAAGAGTCAGATTGATTCTCGAAATTGCTAAAAATGGTCAAATAAGTCCTTATATAGGAGACTCTGTCCGGACGTCGCCATTCGGGGCGGTTCTCGCTGGAATTTTTTGATGAAATTTCTGAGCATCTTATTCATTAAGTCTAGTTCACTCATACCAAATTTCAGCTAAAACTTCAATCGGGGAGGCATTCAAACGAAGTCTTTAAGATAACTTCGCAGTTAAAAGCGCAGTTATCTTCAAGAATTCATTTGAACGCCTTCTCGATTGAAGTTTTAGCTGAAATTTGATATGAGTAGACTAGACTTAATGAATAAGATTCTCAAAAACTTTAATCAAAAAATTCCTTCGGGAATCTCCCCAAATGGCGACGGCCGGACAGTAAGGACTTATTTGACCCCTTTTATGCAATTTTGTGGACCAATCCGACCCTTACCTCCATATTTTTGTTGTATTGTCTTTGTTGTTTACTTTGAACTATTTGTTATTTATTTGTGCGTTTTTTGGATTCAGATTACTTGGAATCTGGTGATACCTTGAGTGAAGATTTTTTGTCTACCACTGAATCTGTTCCTGTGCTACCAAGTATTGTGCTTTCTTACATTTTATCCCTTATTTATTTATGCATTTTTCTTTGGCAGTTCAAACTTCTTCTACTTTTGTTTATGAAGCCCATTCTGATGAGCGTTTGTGTGTTGAAACAATATGAGTTAAGGAAGCTGAAATTTCTGAGCTATTGGGCAAAACAGTTTTTCTGAAAAAGAGGCATTTGAGCTATACAATGACTACACTTATAGAATTGGATTTGGTGTTCGTTATTCTACTTTGAGAAAGAGAGGTGGTGGTTCTGGCTTTAGGGGAAGGGAATTTTGTTGTACTAAACAAGGTTTAAAAAGGGAAAGGTGTTGTTGGTAAACAATATACAAAAGTTGATAGGCGAACTGGTTGCAAGGCAAAAATATATTTTGAGATAAAGCCTACTGGTGAGTTTGTTGTTGTTAGGCATGATATGGTTCATAATCACAATTTTTTCCCGAGCTCTTTAGTTCATCATGTTAGGTCTCATCATGTTGTTTCATCAAGTGAGTTAGAATATTTGCAACATTTGAAAAATAAAGGAGTTAAAGTAGCAGATGGTTTTCGTTGCTTACAATCACAAGCTGGCGGATCTCCTGCGGTTGGTTTTCTTTTGCGT